TGAGGTTCTGGAAGGTTCAATAACTCGCCCAGGTGTCACTCAACTAGTGCCAACTAGTCAGTGGAGGAGCTGGTCCCAGGCCCAGGGTTTTACTCCACCTGCAACATAATGCCTTTCCATCGTCAACACTAGGCCCCGTGTACAGGTAAGAGAGAGGTGACATCTTTTGGCGGAATGACCTTATGACTAATAACCTCCTGATGTATTTTTTTTTTTCCTTTTTGTCTTTTTTCGTGACCAGTAACAGGATCGCAACCCTCGGTGTTGCGCCCGTACCACAACCGGCAACGGAATCGCAACCCTCGGTGTCGCGCCTGCACCGCGCTCAACCAGTGAGCGGAGTCCGTACCACAACCGGCAACGGAATCGCAACCCTTGGTGTCGCGCCTGCACCGCGCTCAACCAGTGAGCGGACCGGTCTCTATATGGGATCCGAACCGTCGGCGGGAGCGCCACCCCACTCCCAAGCACCGCACTCTACCGAGTGCGCCACCGGGCCGGCCCAATCCTGATGTATTAATAGGCTCCCAAGCCCTCCCTGTATTTCAATGACTGACTCTGTTGAAAGATAACTCTCCAATCGCTAGTAACTAGTACCCTTTCTTTCAGGCAGGTTACCCTAGGCTTGATAACAGACTTCATATTCATTCACACGATATTCACTTAGATTCAAAGTAACTAAGAGAAAGTCAGTTACCTTCTCCGTAGTTCCACCTGGCTGAAAGCTGGTGACGGTTACTTTGATGGAAGTGGCCTGGACTGTTAAGTCTAGATCACACGGTTCATCGGCTCTGCCGGTCAGGTTCACTGTGTCTGAGCTGCTGGCCCTGGCCTCGGGCCTCTTGCAGTGTGGGCTGACCCTGGCCACTGGTTTGTGCCTGGACCCTAGGTTTTCATTCTTCTGCTGGGGGGACCTGGAGCCCTCTGTGCTAATCAGACTCTGGGTGCCTGCATAGACTTTGTATTCCAATTTGGGTGAACTCTTTGATCCTGACAGTTCCTTCTTCCCCAAGCCTCCAGGGCCACTCTTGGCCTCTACAGAGTCCAGCACATTGGCTTCATGGGAAGTAGTGTCCACCATATCCTCTGGGACACTCTTCTGTAAGTCCACCGAGCTGCCAAGGACAGGCACTGAAAAGGCCTTGCTGACCCGTGTCTTCTGGGGTGGCTCTTCTTGGTTGTTGACATCCATGACATTGGAAGAGGCCGTCAAGACACGCCTAGAGTCACCCCCTGTCAGAGGTCTGCCGGGACCCGGCAGGGCCCCTGGGAGTGAGATACAGTCCCCCTGTCCATCAAACTCTTCCTCGTCACTGGCATCATGGCAGCCCACCCTGCTCTGACGGAGGAGCGGGTTTCGGAGGCCCTGTGGGCTTCCAGGGAGACTGGCTTGTCTGGCAACTGTCACCTGCTTGTGGAAGAGCCCAGAGGCCCACTGGCTTCCTAGAGACACAAGGCTGTTGGCTCTGGCTTTTCCCGGCTCCTTGTGAACTGGCAGGGGTGGAGAGAGAGAGGTCAAATGAAATCGAGTTTCCCATCCGGCCTGGTCTTGTAATCTAACCCCATCATGACACACCAGCGTTCCCACGTTCACAGGTGCCAGACACACAACCTCTGGCCACTGGACACCAGGCTTCAACAACATGGCTTCTCGGGACCTACACAGAGTGGACAGCCTATCTCTTTTCTTTTCCTACTGGCCTCTTCCTTTTTTGTTTAAACCTCAGCCTCTGGATTGTTAAACATGCTACTGTCTAGAGATAAAAACATGTAGTGCTTCAACCTCCATGAAGTCTGACATATTGCTGGGGCTCAACCTCAACGCTGCTGCTGAGAATTCCTCTCTAGAAGGATGCCTGAGGACCAGCGACATGTCTCACACACCTGGGCCTTCTTTCTCATGACCCGGGGTCCTGCCTTCATCTGCAGAAAAGGGGGCTTGATTAATAGGCATGTGTGCTCCAGGAACTGCTGCTGCTGAGAATTCCTCTCTAGAAGGATGCCTGAGGACCAGCGACATGTCTCACACACCTGGGCCTTCTTTCTCATGACCTGGGGTCCTGCCTTCATCTGCAGAAAAGGGGGCTTGATTAATAGGCATGTGTGCTCCAGGAACATGGTACAGCGAAGCCTGAGCTGTCTTACTTCTCAAAGATGATGTATATCAAGTCCTCTAGGCCAGGGAAGAAAGCATGGCTGCTTTTTATCCTGCTAAATATAGTAAAAAATTACACGTGCATCCTCCTGAGATGTTCCTATCAGAGAACAGAGTAAGCCCATCAACAGCTCCAAATAAGATGCTCATCACTGATCTCCCCCAAGACAGGGGGATTTTCTTGCTCAGATATTAGAAATAAAAAGAAAACCTCATCAGAAGTCTGAGAAATTAGTACGTTTCACATCAGATTATCTCATATTATCTTGAGCAGATAATGAGATTTTAAAAAACCCTTTTGATAATATCTGTCTTGTATGAGCTGAATCTTTCACTTACTGCCTTCTAAAAAGAATTAAGTTAGGACCTAAAGAGAGAAGGGACCTGGAATTTGGCTGGGATTTCTTAAAACGTAAGGGTGTCAGGTTGCCCACCCAGATTTGATGCCATAAAATTCAAAACGATATTATATAAATGGCATCTAAAGGGGGTCCAGGTTAGTCACTTTTAACCGCTGGTGCAGAACGTGTGCTGCCTTTTCCAAGGGTACACTCTGTATTTAATCACGGTAGAAGATGGCTCCTATTCAACCAGAGGCATGGTTTCCAGCTCTCTTTTCATGTTACAGCACCAGGACAGTTAAACCACCACAGCCCCCAGCACAGAGGTGGAAATGAGTAATTGCTCCCTGGAATGCAGAGACCCAGGCCCTCCCGGGCGCCCCTGCTTACCGGAGGTGCCAGGAGGCAGGCTGCCATCCTCCGACGTGCTGCAGCTACTTCCCGGGTGGTCCTCGTCCTCAGAGCCAGCCGCAATGAAGTCTGACAAAGGACCTGGCACATCGTGGGCAAAGTACTGGGAGAGTTCGGAATCAGAAATAAGGGAGTCCTGTTGAAGAAGAAAATGCCGGATGACTGAGAAGACGTACTAGGAGCAGATGTTTTAAACGATAATTACTTCCTACCTTTCCAAGAACACTTTGTTCTAATCCACGGTCATTGGAAACAGCTGTGATAGTAAACTCCCACTTCCATTTACTTTAGGATGGCTAAATTAACAATTAATGAATAAAAAGGTGACTGCTGCTTGCCAGAAAATGTTTTTAGAGTTTTTTTTTTTTTGGCCAAATTTTTGGCAACGATCCCACTTCCATTTACTTTAGGATGGCTAAATTAACAATTAATGAATAAAAAGGTGTCTGCTGCTTGCCAGAAAATGTTTTTAGAGTTTTTTTTTTTTTGGCCAAATTTTTGGCAACGATCGAAAAAGCCACAGCAGTGGTATATCAACCATCCCAGGAAAAACATGGGGGAAAGGATAGGAAAATGGAATGAAATTCCAAGCCAACTGGTTCAGCCAATTGATTAAACAAACAAACAAAAAAAGGGAAGTTTGAGTCCCGCACCCTGATCCTTTGGGACTTAGGAGGAGTCTAGCTGAGGGAGGTTACACAGTCTCCTTACAGTTTCAGGTCCCAAAAAACCAACTTGAGCTGCTTTATTATGGAGTTTGCAAAGTTATTTTTCAAACTATAGTTCAGTTCTTTTATTTTGTTGCTCTATTCTTTCCCTGAATGAATATTAACTAAAAGAAACACACATCTGTGTATTTGTTCTCAAATGAACCTTGTTGCTATTTCCTGTATAAAGTGGCAAAAATGACTCATGGGCAGAAATCTGGACTGTGCCCTCAGGCTTGACTTATGGGTTCCAGGAATTGGTTTGTGGTCCAGCTGAGTAAGGTAGGTAGCGGTGCGCCGTGACTCACCTTTTTTGCAAAAGAGGGACTCTTCAAGGGGGTACCTGTTGGGGGGAAAAGCCACCATACTGTCAAAACAATGAAGCTCAAGTCACAAATAGGCTCACATCCTTAATTAGAAAAGAAGGAGCCAAACATATTAAACGAAACTCCCTTTGCTGGACTGGCACTGATGGGTTGTGTGCACAGGTGTAGATGTGTGTGCAATCTACCAGGGTACCTGATCCCCACTCCCATCCCACCTCTCAAGATTCTGCTCACACTTCAAGCCCCAAGTTGGATGCTATTACCTCTACCATGATCCCAGTTGGAAGTAATTTCTTCTTCTGAATTTGGAATATATTGTACACCACCCACACATCAACTTCCACATTAGCATATTTTAATTTATGAGTGGATATGTCTCATCTCCCTTCCTCCTCTGTTTAACAATCTATAGAGCAGAGATGTTGACTTATCTGACCCCACAGTGCTGGGCACTGCACCTGTTATCCACTAAGTGGTGATATTTGCTGAGTGTAATGAGGGATGAATGAACAAATGAACACCACCCAAAAAACTCATGAAAGAACTTGGAAGAGGGCTGAATATCTATTTCAATTGTTAACTGAAGGATAAAAAGTCTCAACGTTTAGACTTTAAATTGTACGCCATGAGTAAAAGAGACCTTGGGCATGAAGATCATGTCTTAATAAAATCTTCTAAATGACTGAGTGGAAATGTTGGGATTATGAGAGCACAGCTTTCAGGAAGGTCAGGATAATGAACTGGTGGAATAAAGAGCCTATTGTGGCTGTGTCCACTTTAAATATATTAATTATGAGTGCAAATAATCAGGGTATTTCATCATTGCCAAAAAAAATCCTATGCCTTCTTTTTTCTCTGACAACCAGTAATTCATGTCTCAGTTTCCTTTCCTCCTGGACATCAATCTGAACATCAGTAAAATCTGGAGCTCAGAAATGTTTGAAGAGTCTCTCTAGGTTTCCATGCTACAGGAAACATCAGTTTTAAAACTCTATGCAATGTTTCCTATCTTAAATTCACATGACATTCCTACTATTTCAATCCTTCTCTGCCTGAACTTTTCCACTTAAGGAGGAAATGATAATTTTTGCTGCCTCTATTACCCTTTTTAAATTGAAACTTTTTAATTGATGTAAAAAAAATTACAGGTTTTTAAATGGATAATATTCTGCATCTACCAAATTACTGATATTTTGGTATCATTTCACTTTCATCTACAGCATTTCAGATGAATTGTGCCCAAATACATGAAATCCAGCTAACTCACTATTGTAAATTATTTGAAAATAGTATAAGAAGCATGCATGATTAGATCTTTAATGAAGCATGTTAAATAACTGCAGAAATCAAAAGTAGCAGCCAAGAGAAGGCATAGACTCTCTTTGACAGCTATTTTCACCAAACTTGATAATTACAAAGAATCCAATAATATGGTACCAGGGAATGCCCCCCCCCCCCAACCTGGTGAACTTAATGAGAAACTCTTCTGAATGTTGAATGAAAATGCATACAGTACCTAAGCCAGGAGAGGAATTGGCTTCTTTGCTCTCCTGATAAGTGCTGCGTGCTATCACTTCATCCATTTCCTGCTCAGACACCTGATTTTCAGCAGAAAGCACAAATTAGATGGTTTTATATATTTATTTCCCCCCATAAAAGTAGCAAAGGCCAGAGCCAAAGTTGAGTGCAGATAAAGAGTCAAACCACGGGGTTAAAGATTATGACCATCTCTGAAGCAATAACTCAGGGCATGTAAGAAGCACAGCTGGGTTAATGGATTGCTTCAAATAATGTTCGCATAACAAGACCTTCAATTGGTTCCCAAGTTCGTTAAACAAAGCATTCAGGTGCTATGATTATCAACTATCTCTAGAACAAACTTCTAATTCTTTTAAAAATTTTAAACAAACATGCAAGAGTATTGCAAGAATAGTATACTCTTCACCAAATTCACTAGTTGTTAACATTTTGCTACATATATATGCATGCACTCTCCACCGCCCGCCCCCCCTTCACTCAGAGCTATAACTTTTTGCTAAACAATTTGCTGGAAAGCTGCAGACATCATAACATTTCACCCATAAATATTTTAGCATGTATCTCCTAAAAACAAGGACTTTCTCTTAAATAACAATGACAGTATTCTCAAACTTAGGAAATTTATCGTTGGTGACTGTCTAATATACATTTAATATTCCAATTTAGTCAATTGTTTCAATACTGTCTTTTAGAAGTGCTACTCAAAGTGTAGGCTGGAACGAGTTCACAGAAGGTTTGACACCAGCCGGTGCGATGAGATGACTTTCCTCCAGAACGCAAATTAGCACGCAGCTCCCTTCATCAACAATGTCTCACTAGGGAAAAATGTCAACTGAACTACGTGGTGTATATTGTGATGTAACTGATTTACATTCTGATGCAAGCTCATCTTGTCGCAGACCTGTAGCAAACTGTCACGGACCGACTTCTTTGCGTAGTAAAGCTTGATAGAAAAATTGTTTTTGGCAATCCGGAATGCAATCTGGGATTTAGTTGTCATGTGTCTTTAGTCTCCTCTAATCTGAAACAGTTTTTGAACCCTTCTTTGTCTTTTTATGATACTGATATTTTGGAAGAAACCAGGCCAATCCAAACCCTCAGTTGGATCTGTCCAATAGTTTCCTCATGCTTAGATATAGATTATGCATTTTTTGGCAGAAACACCACAAAAATGGTTTCCTTCTCAGTGTATTCAGAGGCACTCAGGGTCAATGTGTCTCATAATTAGTGATAACTTTGATCTCTTGATTAGGATGGAATTTGCCAGATATCTCCATTAGTTTTTTTTTGGTCATTAGTGAGTGATCTGTGAGGAGATAGTTTGAGACTATGTAAATATCCTGCTCTCCCATATATTTTTACCCCATGGTTTTATTACTGTCGATCATTCTTGCCTGAATCAATTATTACTATGAAGTTTTCAAAATAGTGACTTTGGGGCTGGCTCTAGCTCAGCGGTTCCTTTGACAAAGAATCAAAATAGTGATTTTATAACTCTTTTATTCCTTCTATATTTATTAGTATGATGGTAGATTCATGGACTTTGTTTCTATCAATTGTTATCCATAAATGTCATTATTCATGGGAAGATTTTTTTAAAAGCCTGACATATACTGAAATATATGATATTTTAGAAGATAATTAGAAAACTTATAAAGTTTCTTTTTTAAAGGTAAGAATATTTTAAACTTAGAATGGAAATTGGGTACTAAAATAACATTTAGCATAAACAATATTTGGATAAGCACAGTAATTTTTCTTAAGTAAACAAACAGAATTCAGCATTGCATTTTACCCTAACAGATAAATCATAATCACATCTAGGCCTTTATGTAATAATTTTTAGTTGGCTTCACAGGTAATAAAACATGTACGCATACCTGCACACAGGCATATACATTTGCACACAAACACCTCCCCAAAGCAAAGAATAATTTTGTATCAATGAGCCAGAGAAAATATCAGCTTAAACAGTGGTTGCTATTTTTCTTGATACTAGGTTTTCAGTATTTGCAATTGTTTTTCTGAGAAAAAATGGACTTCTATTGCTTTCTTTTACTTAACATAAGCTAGAAACTACTATCCTAGGAGGTCCAAATCTTAGTCTGTCTAGACCTGGAAGGTTAGAATGTCCCAGTCAGGTAGTCACTGCTCCAGACGTTATGAGAAACAGAAGAAAGTGATTGTGGTATTTCTCTTGGAACAACATGAAAACTAAGGAAGCACATACATTCAGTATCAGAATGTACTACTGACATGAAATGCTGGGCTAAGTGGTACAAAAATACATTAAGCATAGAATGGAATCTTGACCAAAAGAAAAATATAGTATGATGTTACAACTAAGAACACCATGTTTACCTAGGAAGAAATGTGAAATCTGGTCAAACAAATACTGAAATTTGGTTTTGCTGGACAAATCTCCAACACTATCAAAGAAGACAATTTTACTGTGGCTTGAAACATGAATCAACCTGCATGTTCAATGGGATCACAGACCACCAGTCCATCAGGATTATTGTGCATTGCACTGAAATGCCATTTTGATGTCTGTACTGGCAAAATAGGCAGATGCTTTTGAGTGAGGTGAACTGGACCCCTGAACAAATCATGACCTGTGTTACGCTGAAAAGGATTTTGAAGTCAGACATGCCTTGGGGCCAATGACTGCAAACCACTGAAAACTTAATTTTCTGTAATGTTGCTGAGGGATGTCTTAGGTCAGCCACAGCTTATTAGATTGCTTCCTAAGATGGGGTAAGGAGGTGATGTGGGTGATAGAATCCAAGTGGAGACCCTGGAGGAAGGAAGTGAGAAATGCTCTAGATGTAACCATGTAGTAAAATGGTGTTAAAAGTGACCCAAAAAGAATCACGGGGACAGCAGCGGAGCAGAGTAAAACAGAGTCTAAGAGAAGATGTCAGGAACACAGAATAGAAAGGAGAAAAATGGGAAGTGACAAATAGGAAAAAATGAAAAAGGGTGCAAGGACTTGATTTTATTAATGATATTTGTTAAAAAATACTTATGTAAGGTATTTCTGAGAAAGCATATAGATAAAACAATCTGAAAAAAAAAAAAAAGGAGTGGAGTTGACTCTGAATCAGTCTAATGGCGATCTTTGTCCAAGCACATCAAATCCCCAGATCAAGACATGGAGTTGCAGCCTGACATCACTTATTTGTACTGGAAAGAACCAGTACGACAAACATCACTGAGATTCTCAAAATGACGCCATAGAGAAATCTCAGATGTGGCACATGGGGTGACCCACAAGGCCTCTGGGCACAGACTTCTTACTCTTAAGATGGCCTACAAGTCCATCAAGCACAGTGGCCTGGGATCATTTAGGATATAATCAGTACTACAAATAGTACAAAAGGTATGGCCATATGACAGGCATGGGTAAGAGCTAATGTTCTTAATGAGCGTTTTGAGTTGTTAAGAGGAAGAGGTTAAATTTTGTTAAATACAACCTGATCACAATTTTAGAAACAAGCCAATTTAAAAATATTTTTATCTTGAGTACTCAAAACGACAACAGAAAATAGTGTTCAAAGTGGGTTGAGTTGAATTTGTTGAAGTGTCCTACGGTTTGCTTTAAAAAATTAAAAGCAACTATAATGGTGTAGAAGAGATATGACCAAATAGCAGCAGAGGCCGAAAACTTATGGGTTATGATTATCTGCAAGTTCAGCATGGGTCAACAGTGTGATAATAACGCCTTAATTAAAGAAGTACTCTGCTCAGGACAACAATGTCCCGGACGGAGGAGGCGGTCACTCTTTAAACCGGGTCTCTTCTTTCATTTAACAACAGTAATGACCTCACACTGTAACAAAATGGTTCTTAACATTTTGGGGTCATGAATGACAATTTGATATAAGGTATTGACTGTCGTAAATGCAAATATATCCCCACATTGTATAATTCATAAAGTCCCTGTGCAATGGTTCAAATGTGTCCCCCAAAAGTTCATGTGTTGGAAACTTGATCCCGACTGTAACAGTGTTAAGCGGATAGAAAATCTGATTATGATAATTGACAGGTGGGGCTTTTGAGAGGTGAGTGGATCATGAGGACTGTGCCCGCCCTCGTGAATGGATTAATCCATTCATGGAGTAATGAGTTATCACAGGTGGGGACTGGTAGCTTCATAAGGAGCACACGAGAGAGCTCTTGCCATCCTTGCCATGTGATTGCCTGCAATGCTATGGGATCCTCTAGAGAGTTCCCACCCAGAAGATGGCCCTCACCAGATGCGCCCCTGGGCTGTGGACTTCCCATCCTCCAAAACTGTAAAAAATAAATTTCATTTCTTTATAAATTATCCAGTTTCAGGTATTCTGTTATAAGCAACAGAAAACAGACTAATACACCCTGTAAGGGTCCATGGACTCCAGGTTAAGACCCCCTTTGGTTTAGATGGTAAGTTTCTTGAGTAGAGATATGTTCTAATTCATCTGTGTAGGTAATGAATTTGATATAGGACAAGGGTTGATGATCTGCAGGGAGACACAGAAGGACAGCCCGTGCTCCACTATCTTGCTGCTTGGTAGCCTGCCTGCTCCCCAACCTCCATGCCATTCCAGTTCACCCTAGTGCCTCCGCCTCTTTTGTTCAGCACCAGGTTCACATGGGCTGGTGGTACCTACAGCTGAACTGCTAATGTTAGACTTGAAGGATCTTCCCTCTTTCCTACTAAGTGAAACTTGTGAGAAAAAGTCATTTAATGGGTCATTCTCAACAGAAGACTGTATGAGTCTCTTCACAACCAGAAAATGGGATAGCTGTGGTGATGTGGTACGTCCTGTTGGCTCAAGATCACAGGCAGTTCCCTCTTTTTTCCCATGGAGTTGTCTACATTAAAATTATCTTTTAATTCTATTTTTCCATAAATCAAGAAAGGACCTCCACTTTCAGAATGTGTCTTTAGGAGAACAAGCAAACCTGTATTGGAAAATGTGAACGTAAGATAAATATCACGGCTGGGAAAATATCCATATGTATTTATGCTATTTAGATAGGTTTGAGAATATTTGTGTTAGTAGTTAATGGAAAAGATCCTAGTATGAATTTAAAAATTTAGTCTTGAGGACCTGGATCATCAGACAGAAAAACAGTATCCTCCACAATACTGAATAAACTTAACAAATAACTTCTCCATTATAGTTTATTTGAAATGTTGGGCTTTATTTTTATCCAAATTTGATTGAAGCAAAATTCACAAAGTAACGTTTGCAAATAAGCAATTGGTTTCCAAAGCCAGATTTCATCTTATTTTTATTTCTTTAAGTTGTGTGAGAGATAGTCATTTCATAAGATAAATTGGTATTTTTTGACCCAACAGTTAAATGAACCCTAAGAAGGAAATGTTTCTCCTCACATCTGAAGACGTTTATTTTTCCTTTAAGAGTAAAGGAAAAATTTTGCACTCTAGGAATTCTGTAAAAATGCAAAAACAGTCACTAAAGTGAATTAAGTGATTATCCAAGTTTAAGTTAAATTCTAAATAGACATCTTTTCAACTACTATAAAAATTTATTTTTATACTATTTTACAATCTTGACACATTCTCATTTTTTACTTGAAGAAAGTTTAAAATTCACTGGACCTGTTTTAAAAATTAATTAACTACTTAGCATTAAACTTAAAGATGAGAGAATTTCCAACACGTGGGCAAACAAAGACTGTAGTTAAAAAAAAAAGATTTCGGGCCGGCCTGGTGGCGCACTGGAGAGTGCGCCGCTTGGGAGCGCGGCGGCACTCCCGCCGAGGGTTCGGATCCCATGTGGAGACCAGTTCCCGCTCACTGGCTGAGCGCGGTG